AAGGAAGTTGGAATCAGGCGCTAGAGCCAGGAATGGAACCCTGGCATTCTTTTTTTTTTTTTTAAAGATTTATTTATCTATTTGAAAGGCAGAGTTACAGAGAGGCAGAGGCAGAGAGAGAGAGAGAGGGGTCTTCCATCTGCTGGTTTACTCCCCAGATGGCCACATGGCTGGAGTTGTGCTGATCCAAAGCCAGGAGCTTCTTTTTGGTCTCCCATGCCGGTGCAAAGGCCCAAGGAAAGGCCCGAGGACCTGTGCCATCTTCTACTGCTTTCCCAGGCCAAAGCAGAGAGCTAGATTGGAAGTGGAGCAGCCGGGTCTCGAATTGGCACCCATATGGGATGCCGGCACTGCAGGCAGCAGTTTTCCTCACTATGCCGCAGCGCTGGCCCCTCATGATGTTTTTAATAGTTTTTCTTGGGTTATTTTCTTAGTGGTTTTACTAGGGTTTTTGATATTCAGCATAACTTACTAGAATTTACTTTATTTCCAGCAAGATACTGAAAATTTATTCCTAAATAGCTCCATTCCTGTTCCTCTGTTTGTGCTATTATTGTTTTAAAAATTATGGCTATGTATACTACAAACCATATAATGCATTGGATTTTTAAAAAATGGTTTATTGACTCTCTCATTACAGAGAGAGAGGGAGATACAGGAAAGAAATCTTCCATCTGCTGGTTCATTCCTCAAATGTCCACAGTGGCCAGGGCTGGGTGGGGCTGAAACCAGAAACCAGGAGCTTCTTCTGATTTCTCTCGTGGGTGCTGGTGCCTAAGGATCTGAATTTCTTGGGCACATTTTCAGGAAACTGGATTGGAAATGGAGCTGCCAGGTGCTGGGATGCCAGCATTGTAGGTGGTGTCTTAACCTGCTAAGATACAACGCTGCCTGTCCCTCAACAATGCGCTGTTAAAATTGTTGTTTTACATAATCATGTATCTTGAGTTTGTGAGTGGTATACATGTGTCTGTTTTTGTTTACTTACCTTCCTGTGACTTTGAGTTATTATTTGGTGTTATTTCCTTACTCTAGTGTAGTTTTATTTGTACCTCCTTTCACATAGATTGCATTTCTGCATGTTGTAATTCAAAGAACACTCAGTATTTTTTAATTAATTAATTAATTAATTAATTTTTTGACAGGCAGAGTTAAACACTGAGTGAGAGAGAGAGAGAGAGAGAGAGAGAGAGAAAGCGAAAGGTCTTCCTTCCATTGGTTCACCTCCCAAAATGGCCGCTAAGGCCAGCGCGCTGTGCCGATCCGAATCCAAGAGCCAGGTGCTTCCTCCTGGTCTCCCATGCCGGTGCAGGGCCCAAGCACTTGGGCCATTCTCCACTGCCTTCCCGGGCCACAGCAGAGAGTGGAGAAGAGCAACTGGGACTAGTACCCAGCACCCCAGCCGGGACTACAACCTGGAGTACAGGCCGGAGGATTAGCCTAGTGAGCTGCGGCTCCGGCCATCAGAATTTTTTTTTACAGAAAGGTTTATTTATTTGAAAGGCAGAGTTCTAGAGAGGTCAAAACAGAGACGGGGGGAGGGAGAGGGAGAGGGAGAGATAGAGTGATCTTCCATCTGGTTTACTCCCCAGATGCCCTCAGTGGCTGGGGCTGGGACAGCTGGAAGCCAAGAACCAGGATCTTCATCCAGATTTCCCATGTGGATGGCAGGGCTCATGTATTTTGGCCATCTTCTGCTGCTTTCCCAGGTACTTTAGCAGGGTGCTGGATGGGAATTGGAGCAGCTGAGACTTGAACTGGTACCCATATGGGATGCTGATTGTACAGACAGTGGCTTAACCTGTTGTACTACACTGCCAGCCCCTCTATATTGTTTTAAGCAATTATGTTTTCAGTGAATAGAATGACAAAATATCTAATCAATATTGTCATTTGCCGCATTGTTAACCTCTATCAGAGACTTTTTTTAAAAATATGGATTACAGTTGTGATTGGTGTCATTTGAGTTCAGCCTAACATACTTGCTGTTTGTCATATCTAGAGCAATAAAATCTCTCTAATGAGTTTTTGTTTGAGAATGTCTTACTTTTGCTTTTATGTTTGAAAGATAGCTTTGCTGGACATGGGATTCTTGGTTGACAGTTGTCTACTCCCTTCTCCCTGCCCCCACATTTTTGAGTATATTATTTCACTGCGTTTGGCCTCAGTTTTTTGTGATGAGCACTCTGATGTTAGTTTTATTGGGTTTCTTTTCTGTGTGACAAGTCATTTTTTCTTGCTGTTTTGAAGATTTTATTTTTGCTGTTATATTGAGTGTGGATCACTTTGTGCTTATTTTGATTTTATTGGATTTTTTGGATGTATATATTGCATTTAGCCAAGCTTTGGAAAATTTCAGTCATTGTTTTTCAGATACTTCTTTTTTTAAAGATTTATTTACTTGCAAGTAAGAGTTACGCAGAGAAAGAGTCAGAGAGAGTGGGAGGTCTTCCATCCGATGGTTCATTTGCTCATTGGCTGCAATGGCCAGAGCTGCTCTGATCCGAATCCAGGAGCCAGGAGCTTCTTCCAGGTCTCCCATGCGGGTGCAGGGGCCCAAGGACTTGGGCCATCTTCCACTGCTTTCCCAGGCCAAATCAGAGAGCTGGATTGGAAGTGGAGCAGCCAGGTCTGGAACTGGCGCCCATATGGGACTCCAGCACTGCAGGCCAGGGCTTTAACAGTGTGCTGGCCCCAGTGCTGGCTTTTATCTACCTTTCTTACTGGGTTATATGTATGTTAGTGCACTTACTGGCAGTCTCACATTCTGAAGTTGTATAATATTAAAAAAGTTCTTTATATAATCTCTATTGCTCTGTCTTTAAGTTTACTAATTTTTTTCTTCTAGCAGTTCAATTGTGCTGTTGAGCCTCTTTAATAAAATTTAAACTTTAAATTTCCAGTTTGTTGATAACTTTGTGATGCAGGTAGGCAGCCGGGAATGTAGCTAGCAGGGAGCAGCTGATGTTACCAGGACCTCCTTGGAGCCCCACATGTGCTGCCTCAGATCACCCCCCCCTTTTGTGCACTGCCTCAGATCTGCCAGCCCCCTCTCCCTCAGCCCTCTGTAATGGAAAACCATAGCTTCTGTAGTTTTGTGCCTTGGCATTGGTGCTATCTTTAAATATCTACTTGCTGGTTGTATGTCCATGATGACCTTTAGCTCGATATAAGGTCATTTTAATCAAATTACCATGGCCCATGCTCCCACTTCTTCCCATTATGCACCTAATGGCATGACATTTCCAAGATTTCAAAAAAAGGGGCAAGGAAATGGGTGGCGCTTCTAACCCTGTCCCAAATTCTAACCTTTTTGAATATTCAATGAAGTCTCATCCCAGACTCTGTTACACCTCCAAATCATATAATGGACAGTTCTAAACCCTGTTGGAATTCTCTTGAGCCTACTGGCATTCTTTGTGAGTATGTTCTTTCAACTTTTGTCTTTTTTTTTTTTTTTGGACAGGCAGACTTAGACAGTGAGAGAGAGAGAGAGAAAGGTCTTCCTTCCGTTGGTTCACCTCCCAAAATGGCCGCTAAGGCCGGCGCGCTGCGCCAATCCGAATCCAGGAGCCAGGTGCTTCCTCCTGGTCTCTCATGTGGGTGCAGGGCCCAAGCACTTGGGCCATTCTCCACTGCCTTTCCCGGGCTACAGTAGAGAGCTGGACTGGAAGAGGAGCAACCAGGACAGAATCCTGAGCCCCGTCTGGCACTAGAACCCTGGGTGCCAGCGCCGCAGGTGGAGGACTAGCCAAGTGAGCTGTGGCGCTGGCCTCAACTTTTGTCTTCTAATTCCAATATCCAGGAGCCTTAAATGCAGTTTGTATTGCCTGCTTTATTTCCTGTATATGGGCCACACTTTATTTATTTGCATATTTTCTAAAATTTTTTTAAACTTAAAACTGATTTTAGGTAATATTTTGCATCCACTCTGGATGATAATTTTGCATTATCCTGTGGGTCTTCTTATAAATATTGTTGGCATTTTTTTTTTAAAGTAAATTTTCATTTACTTATTTTTATTCATTTGAAAGAGGGAGAAAGAGCAAGAAAGATTTTCCTTCTGCTAGTTCACTTCCTAAATTCCCACATCAGTTAGGACAGGACCAGTCTGAAGCAGAGACTTGGGAATCAATCTGGGTGGAAGGTACCCAAGAAATTGAGCTATCGCCTGGTGTCATCAGCTCAGTCTGTGTCTCCCACATAGGTAGAAAGGATCCAACTACTGAACATATCACTTGCTGCCTCACAGAATGCGTATTAGTAGGAAGCTGGAATCAGAAGTGGAGGTGGAACTTGAACCCAGGAACTCTAATCTGGGATATAGGTAACCTAAATGGCTTCTTAATTGCTGTGCCAAATGTGCACTCTCATTTATTTATTTTTAATTTTTATTTTTAATACTTGAAAGACAGAGCTCTTCCATCCTCTGGTTTACTTTCCAGCTGAGGCTGGGCCAGGCAGAAGCCAGGAGCCAAGAACTACTTCAAAGTCTTCTATGTGGGTGGCAGGAACTCAGACTTGATCGATCATTTATTACTTCTCAGGCATATTAGCAGGGAGCTGGATTGAAAGTGGAGGTGGCACTCAAACTTATGTATTCATTATGGAATGTGAGCATCCCAAATGGTGGCTAAATTCACTGCACCATAATACCTGCCTCCTATTTATTTCTTTACTTATTTTTTATAAGTAATTATTTATTTTATTTGAAAGAGTTATATAGAGGGAAGGAGAGGTGTAGAGCTTCCATCCACTACTTCACTGCCCAATTGGCTGCAACAGCTGGAGCTGCACTGATCTGAAGCCAGGAGCCAGGAGTTTCTTCCGGATCTCCCATGTGGGTACAGGGGCCCAAGGACTTAGGGCATCTTCTACTGCTCTCCTAGGCCATAGCAGAGAGCTGGTTGAAAGTGAGGCCACTGGGACTTGAACTGGACTCCATATGGGATGCTGGCACTGCAGGCAGTGACTTTACCTGCTACACTACAGCGCTGGACCCTATTAATTTTTTTAATGACTTTACTAACTGTGAATTCCTAACAGCTTCAGAAGGCCATGTTCAAACATATTTCCTTCTCCTAGCTTAAATACCTAGTATCGCCACATCTTGGATTCATATAAAACACTAGCCGGATTATACTTAAGTTGTGTTAGCTTGTTAGAGTTTTCACTTTTATTTATTTACTTACTTATTTTTGACAGGCAAAGTTAGAGAGAGAGAGACAGAGAGAAACATCTTCCTTTCCGTTCGTTCACCCCCCAAATGGTTACTATGGCTGGCGCGCTGGGCCAGTCCAAAGCCAGGAGCCAGGTGCTTCCTCCTGGTCTCCTATGTGGTTCAGGGCCCAAGTACTTGGGCCATCCTCCACTGCCTTCCTGGGTCACAGCAGAGAGCTGGACTGGAAGAGGAGCAACCGGGACAGAATCTGGTGCCCCAACCTGGACTAGAACCCAGTGTGCTGGGGCCGCAGGCGGAGGATTAGCCAAGTGAGCCATGTCGCTGGCTTCACTTTTTATTTTGCGATGTATCCTTGACTTTGAGATTCCTCACCAAGGAGATCCAAGGTTCTCTTCTAGTTTTCTCTTTAGAGAGGGCAGTTTTCTTTTCTTTTTGTTTTTGCTTTCTTTCTTTCTCTCTCTCTTTTTTTAAAGATTTATTTTTTTGAAAGCAGGGTTACAGAGAAATATCTTTTATCTGCTGGTTCATTCTCTAAAAATGACCTCAACAACTGGGAATGGGCCAAGTTGAAGACAGGAGCCTGAATCTCCACCAGGGTCTCCAAAGTGGGTGGCAGGGGCACTCGCAAGCATCTTTTGCTGCTTTTTCAGGTACATTAGCAGTGAGCTGGATTGGATTTGAACTGGTACCTCTATTGGATGCTGGCATTACAGATGGCAGCCTAACAAGCCGCACCACAATGCCAGCTCCAGCATTGAGTCTTAGATCATTGGGTATGAATTGGATTTCATTTTAAATTCTAGTCTCTTAGAAGTTGCCACTGGGTCAGAGTAGCTTCTTTTTTAGTGAGCTTTTGATCAGAGGTTGTACTAAAGCCTGTTGAGCGTTGTTAGTCGATGAAGTTGTAGGTGGCTTGGGGAATGCTTTTAAGTCTACTATCCTGTTTTGATATCTTTTTTTAAAAGGTTTATTTATTTGCTTGAAAGACGGAGTTACAGGGTGGTAGAGGCAGAGAGAGGTATCTTGATTAATACAAAGCAATTTATATGCACAACCCTCTGAAATGTCAGAAATGAATGTGATCCCAGGAGGACTCTTTTTTGCTGGCTTTCTTTACTCTTTCTGAAAGTTATAGCTGATTAAATTGTTTCTTCTAGTATCTTGGAGCTGTCAGTTCTACCTTACTGCTCACCACCAAAACTCTCTGTTGTGCTTTTATTGAGTAATTACACTGGAGATGAAATTCAGGTATCTAGTACTTTCTTATTAATATTAATTTTGATCAACAAATCATAATTATATACATTTATGGAGTACAGTGTAGTGTGTGTGTGTCTGTGACTTATTTATTGATGCTGGTACTGTGGCATAGTGGGTAGAGTTGCCGCCTGCAGTGCCAGCATTCTATATGGGCGCCGGTTCAAGTCTCAGCTGCTCCACTTCCTATCCAGCTCTCTGCTATGGCCTCAGAAAGTAGTAGAAGATGGCCCAAGTCCTTGAGCCCCTGCACCAGAGTGGGAGACCTGGAGGAAGCTACAGGCTTTGGATCAGCCCAGCTCAAGCCGTTATGGTCATTTGGGGAGTGAACCAGCGGATGAAAGGCCTCTCTCTCTCTCTCTCTCTCTCTCTCTGCCTCTCTGAACTCCGCCTTCTAAATAAAATAAGTAATCCTTTAAAAAAAACTTCAAAACATTTATTTATTTGAAAGGCAGAGTTACAGAGAAGGAGAGGCAGAGAGAAAGAAGCCTTCCATCTGCTGGTTCACTCCCCATGTGGTCACAGCTGTCATTGTGCCTGGGCCAGGCTGAAGCCAGGAGCTTCTTCTGGTTTTCCTATATGTGTCTAGGGGCCCAAGCACTTGGGCCATCTTCTACTGCTTTCCCAAGTGTATTAACAGGGAGCTGTATTGGAAGTGGAGCAGCTGGAACTCAAAACTGTGCCCATATGAGATGCTGGTATCACAGGTGGGGGTTAACCTGCTATGCCACAGCACTGGCCCCCTTGTTTTGATATATTTGTATATGAACAGTGTGAAATTTTTTTTTATGGTTCCCTTAGGCATAAACTTCAAGCCCTGTTCCAAATAATGTCCCTTTGGCAGAACTGGTGAATTTGTGATAGGGCCCCCAAATTCTTGACTTGTGAAGATGTTGGAGTCTATGAATGGGAGACATCAAGGCTGAATAGGATGAGACTGCAGTCTGTTAGATACCTCATTCCCCTAGGGAAAAATTATAGTCCAAGATTAAGAACTGGGATTTGAGGGAACACTCACCTTCATAGCCACACTCACTGAAAGTGGAACTTCTGTTACTGGGATCTGAGGGGAGAAGGTGAAGGGACGATAGAGTCAGATTATGGCTCAAATGCCACAAACTCTTACTGTCTTTAGTGAGATTTAATAAAGTTTGAATCGACTTTTTTTTTTTTTTAATTTGCTGTATGTTCTTAGGACAATTCCACAGGCTTTAAATAGTTGTTTTTCACTTGTCAGATAGTTTACTCTTTTGATAAGAGGTTCCACAGAACTCTTAATTCTGCCATTCTGATTTTCCTATCCTTCCATCTTTTAAAAAATATGTGAATATACATTGTATTTTAAGTGTGGATGAATTACTGGTTAGAAATTTTTTTTTTTAAATGTGTCATATGATTTGTTTATAGTTTGATGTTAATTTTTGTATATTTGACCTCTGATACTGTAAAAATATTACCCATTAAACACTGTTAGTCCTAGATCCTTTAGTGTAATTCAGTATTTCATCATATGACCACCCATGATTTTGAGCTTGGACTAGGTAGTTACTTTTACATGGGAAATGAACCAGCTGTCAGCCAAAGTTGCTGGGAGTGTTCATTGACTTAAACCTCTTGTGGCATCTCTGATTCCCTAACTAAAGTGTCTTCCTCCCTTCGTAGCTTGTCAGGACTGTAAAGTTGGAATGACCTAAGTAAACACCTGCTCAATCACTTAGCACTGTCCTTTGTTTCTCAACTCCCAGTATCAGTTCCTCTTATATATGCTTATTTCCTGCAGAAAAAAAGATAAACCTGTTTTTTATACCTTCCTCACAGAAATCAGTTGAATATTGAGGAAGTTTTAGAAAAAGAGGTGTAGTACACTGTGCCCTGGTCTCATTGCCTGTGAAGAGGATTTTTGACACAATGGCTTTGTGAATTTGTAGAAGTTATTTATATGTTATTGTTTATGTTTTCCTGTTGCATTGTTTGTAAAAATTAGATTACTACCCTCCCCCCAAAAGAATTCATGCTTTGAAAGTAGGTTAGACAGTAAACCAGGTCTTCATTTCTGAAGATAATCATAAAATTCATATTCATGTTATGGACTTGTATGGTTTTGGTTTCATTTTTTTCCTCTGTCCTTAGACTTGCTATATTTGTGATGAACAAGGAAGAGAAAGCAAAGCAGCCACTGGTGCTTGCATGACATGTAATAAACATGGATGTAGACAGGCTTTCCACGTAACATGGTAAGTATATCCATCATCGTACAGAGCTGAAATTTGGGAATAACTTGTATACAAGGTTAAAGACTTTTAGCTAGGTTCCCAAGCATTAATTGTAGTAAATTTTAATGGGATAGTTTTAAATTGTAATAAAGGTAATTCTTGTAACTGGGTGTATCCACGACAGAGAATATGCAATAAATGGACCCTGTTTCCAATATAACCGCTACAAATTTCAGTTTCATCTTATTTAAAGTATTGTTATTATTACCTACCCTTTGTATTTGACTTAGGGTTAAATGAATTGATATAAGTAAATCAATTGCAGTGTCTTAGGCATTATAAGAATTCAATAGGGGCTGATCATGTGGTACAGTGGGTTAAGCCCACCTCCCATGATGCCAGCATCCCATATAGGTACTGATTCGAGCTTCTGATCCAGCTCCTGCTAATGTGCTTGGGAAAGCAGCAGAAGATGGTCCAAGTGCTTGGGCTCCTCTACCCACGTGGAAGACCTGGCTGCTGGCTGTAGCCTGCCCAACACTGGCCATTGCAACCAATTGGGAAAATACGGAACCACTTGAAGATCTCTTTCTCTGTGTCACTTTTTTCTTTCTTCCTTCCCTCCCTCCCTCCCACTTTGCCACAGCGCTGGCCCCTGTGTCACTATTTTTCTTAACTCTGCCTTTAATAAATCCTAAAAACAATTTTTTTTTCAATGAATGATAGTGTTTCACCTATGTGTCACAAGGAGAGAATTATGGATTCCTCATAATTCTTAAAGTTACAGTGCTACTTCTCACACATTTACTCAGTTTTTTTTTTTTCAGCATAAAATTTCATGAACAAATTTGTTCAAAGGTTGATATCCTATGTGTAATTCATAACAATTTGAAATAACAGTTTGGGAATAATCCAGATGTTAATGTATCCTGCCAGTATAGGCATATGTTTATTTCCTGAGCATTTAGTGTTTGGATAGATGAAGTCTATTTTGGAATCCCTTTGGGGAATGAAAAGTGTTTTTTTATTTTTTTTATTTTTTATAAAAACTCTACCCAGTTTTCCAAAGATGAAAGTCTATACTAAAACTGTAATTTTAGAATGTTTAAAGATGAAATTGACAAGATGATGGTTTTAAACTAGCCATTTATTTATTTATTTGAAAGCCAGAGTTTATATATAGACAGAGGTCTTTCATCTGCTATTTTACTCTGCAAAGAGCCAGGACTGGGGCTTGGTTGAAGCCTCGAACTCCATCCAGATCTCTCTTGTGGGTGGCTGGGACTCAACTACTTGGGCCGTCATCTGCTGTCTTCCCAGGTGTATTAGCTGGAAGTTGGATTGAAGAGGAGCCAGGACTTAAGCTAATACTCACTATGGATAGCAGGTATCCCAATGCCTGCTACCTCATTTTATGTTTTTGTTTTTTAAAGAGTAAATGCCATAACTTTAGGTTCCAGTTCTCTTTTTTACTGCAAAGTACAATTCATGTTATCTTGTTTACTGAGCTGTGACTTGAAACAATTAGACTAAGTTTGCAAAATTATTTCTGGGTGAATGAATTTTTTTTTATTAAGATTTATTTTTTATTTATTTGAAAGAGTTACAGAGGGAGGTAGAAAGAGAGAGAGAGAGCGCGCGAGAGAGGTCGTCATTTGCTCATCTACTCCCCAGATGACTGCAACGGCCCCAGCTGAGACAATCTGAAGTCAGGAGCCAGGAGCTTCCTCTGGGACTCCCACGTGGGTACAGGTACCCATGCACTTGGGCCATCTTCCACTGCTTTCATAAGCCACAGCAGAGAGCTGAGCAGAAAAGGAGCAACCGGGACTCAAACTGGCACCCATATGGGATGTTGGTGCTTCAGGCCGTGGCCTTTAACCTGCTATACCACATTGCAGGCCACATTTTTTTCTTTTTAAGAGTAGGTAATCTGGGGCTGAGCTGTGGCATTGTGGGTAAAGCTGCTGCTTGCAGTGCCAGCATCCCATAAGGGTGCAGGTTCGAGTCTCGGTCCTCCTCTTCCGATCAGCTCTCTGCTTTGGCGTGGAATAGCAGTAGAAGATGGCCCAAGTCCTTGGGCCCCTGCACCCTGGAAGACCTGAAAGAAACTCCTGTCTCGTGGTTTCAGATTGGCGCAGCTCTAGCCTTGTGGCCAATTGGGGAGTGAACCAGCAGGTGGAAGACCTTTCTCTCTCTCTCTGCCTCTTCTTCTCTCTCAGTGTGTAACTCTGACTTTCAAATAAATAAATCTTTTTTTTTTTTTTTTTAATTTTTTTTTTTTTAATTTTTTATTTTATTTTTTTTTTTGACAGGCAGAGTGGACAGTGAGAGAGAGAGACAGAGAGAAAGGTCTTCCTTTGCCGTTGGTTCACCCTCCAATGGCCGCCGCTGCAGCCGGCGCACCGCGCTGATCCTGGCAGGAGCCAGGAGCCAGGTGCTTTTCCTGGTCTCCCATGGGGTGCAGGGCCCAAGCACCTGGGCCATCCTCCACTGCACTCCCTGGCCATAGCAGAGAGCTGGCCTGGAAGAGGGGCAACCGGGACAGAATCCGGCGCCCCAACCGGGACTAGAACCCGGTGTGCCGGCGCCGCAAGGTGGAGGATTAGCCTATTGAGCCACGGCGCCGGCTCCAAATAAATAAATCTTTAAAAAAATAAAAAGAGTAGGTAATTTTCTCCTTAGGATAAATACCATTAAAGGTTAAATGTCATTTCAACCCTTTAAGAGGCACTACTTTTTTGTACCTGTGATATGATTTGAAAAGTAAAATAAAATTTTAATTTTGGGTGAGGTAGGAAGAATTTATCTTAAACACAAACATTTCGTGGTTGGAAGTAAATTTTGTTTGTTTGTATATACTGTGGTTTGAGTTTGTGTTGATATCCTGGACTTTAATTTTCAGTGCACAGTTTGCTGGATTGCTTTGTGAAGAAGAAGGTAATGGTGCAGATAATGTCCAATACTGTGGCTACTGTAAATACCATTTTAGTAAGCTGGTAAGAATTTGTCTTTAAATTTAATGTTACAATAATATTTTTGAGAACTGAATTATACTTTTCATTCAAAAAGGCATTAGTAGCCATTTCTTTTCCTTTGATGGTTGCTTAAAATTATTTCTTTTGATGTTCTTTATTGGAAATGAAAAAATCAGTAATTTGAAAAGATTTTTGTTTTGCTTGTTTTCATTTATAAAGGTTGATATTCTTAAATTCTGATTTTGAATGTATTAATAGTTGATAGTAAATGCAGATATACGTTTAGTGGAAAAATTAATTCGTAAAGAACTGTATTTTAACATTTTTGTTAATTTGATTTTTCATGTGATTATCATTTTGTGATTCTTTATCACTTCTTCTTTATCACCATTACACATTTTATTATTTTAATTATTTTCTTTTTAATTGACCAGAAAAACTGAAATAAGAATGTATTATAACTTGGCCCACGTTTTTGAGACAGATATATCTAAAGATAACTTTGGGAAATTTTTTAAGATTTTTGTCAGTCTTTGCTGTTGTACAGTAGCATGGATGATTAAGTTAGTAGTAGTTGATGAGCCCTTGTGTATTTTTGCAAATGTTCCTTTGAAGGATCAGTATTTCTTTAATGTACCAGAAGTGTCCATTTTTTGGTCTTCTCCATTTCTCATTCTTTAATTATGCAGATTCATAACACTGAAGTTTAAGGTTTTGTTTTTCTTTTAATGTTCTTTTTTTTTGAGTATTACCTTTCCTTGTGAATGAGGTGTGCACACATGCGTTCTCTCTCTCTCTCTGTCTCTCTCTCAATATTTTTAAATAAAATAATATCATTAGGGACCCCCATCTTAGGAAATGGGCATCGATGCCTCTGGTATTCTTGTTCATTCATATGAAATGCATTCATGCAATGCATAATATTTTGGTTAATAGTGGACCATGTGTTTATAAACAATCTCATTAGATTATCATGGAACTTAAAAATCCCTATTATCAAGTATTTTTACTGTGCTTTTCCCCTCCTATATTTAGACACACTTACCATTGTGTTACAGCTACCTATAGTATTAGTAGAATTACCATGCTCTACATGCTTGAGGCCTGGGAGCAGTAGGCAAAGACATAGAGCCTAGGTGTGTTGTAGGGATCTGTACATTTAGGTTGCTGTAAGTACACTCTCTAATGTTTGCAAAATGACAAAAATTACTTGAGACATTTTTCATAAAGTGTCTGTCATTAAGTAACATGTGTCTGTACTTAAGAGTGTATATATGTGGCTGGCGCCGCGGCTCAGTAGGCTAATCCTCCACCTAGTGGTGCTGGCACACCGGGTTCTAGTCCCGGTCGGGGCGCCGGATTCTTTCCTGGTTGCCCCTCTTCCAGGCCAGCTCTCTGCTGTGGCCAAGGAGTGCAGTGGAGGATGGCCCAAGTGCTTGGGCCCTGCACCCCATAGGAGACCAGGAGAAGCACCTGGCTCCTGCCTTTGGATCAGCGCGGTGCGCTGGCCGAAGGGGCCACACGCTGCGGCGGCCACTGGAAGGGGTGAACCACGGCAAAAGGGAGAGACCTTCCTCCCCTGGCCTCCCCTCCCTCATGGCCCACTCGCCTGCCGTGTTAAAAAAAAAAAAAAAGTGTATATGTGTATTGTTTAATGGTAAAGGCTTTGTTTTATTTTAATTACTGGTAAAGATTATTGAAATGTTTTATGGAAAATCTCGAGATTGTAAAATTGAAAAATTTATTCTTGGGTGATAAAAACATTTCTTTGAAATGAAAGATGATAAAGGTAAAATATATAAATTGAAGTTCATGCAAATAGTATTTTCTCATTGCTAATTATTGGCATGATACCTCATTTGCTAGTTGCAGGAAAAGTCTATTCAGTATAGAATTTGAACATGTATATAGTCATTTTATGTGGTTTAAATCAAGTAGTTATGGTAACCATCTATTTACAAACACTCCAAATAACTATCATGTTCATACTTTATTGGGCAATGGTGTAAGTATTTTAAACAGAAATGTGTGGTGCTTTTAGTAATGCTTTGAAAAATGCATGAGTCTAATACTGACTGCTTCATTAATTTTAATTTTTAAAATGAACTGCCAATATCTTTTTAGTTCATTGTTAACATTAGTGATGAAAGTATAAGATTAAGAAATCTCTTGCTTTCCTAGTGGCATAAATTCTTAAAATATTTACTTTTCTATTCTATCATTCTTGGCATACTTCTTTAATAAAGCATTGTCTCCTTTGGTTGAAACTTTTTTTTTTTAAAGCAGATAATGAAAATATATTGTAGCCTATTTGAAAATAGATAGTCTATTTCATATACTTTAATAAATATGCAAAAATATGGCATGTTACATTTAGAGTAACTTTTCCTTTATAACACAATGGATAATATATGGATGGTGTACAAACTGGATTATATGGATTGAAATAGTGAGTCTTTTTTAAAACTTTAGTAGAAATATAAATATAATTTAGATTTGAGTTGATTTAAACCTAAGAAAAATTCTTTTAAAAAATTTCATATACATATACATATATGTATATATGTATTTTCTTTTTTAGAAAAAGAGCAAACGGGGATCTAATAGGTCATATGATCAAAGTTTAAGTGATTCTTCCTCTCACTCTCAGGATAAACATCATGAGAAAGAGAAAAAAGTAAGTGGATTTGTTGTTGCTAAGTATGTAGCACATCAACTTAATAGAGCATTTTTTTTGCCTTTTTAGTTAGAATTAAGTTTTTGATAGCTAAATGGAGACATCAAAGTATAGAAAATTTTTGAATGTTAAGTCAAAGAATAGATGTAAAATAATGCCATATTTGTGAGTTTGGTTTTATCCATTGCAACCCATAATTTAAGATGCAGCTTGTCTGAAAGCATGAGAGAGATTTCTTGCATGCATGTATGGACTATGGTCATCTTGGGACATCTTCACATGACTTCAGCAATAATTACTGCTATATATTATTAGCTAATGACGTCCCATGCAAGTAATTATCTCATTGTATTTTTTTTTTCCTTTCAAATAGAACAGTTTTCAAGTTCTATATATTCTTGGCTGGATTTTCTTTTTCAATGATGCTAATGATTTATTATTTTTTCTAATGGCTAAATGTATTATTTATTTGAGAATATTTTGTCTTTTATTTAAAACACTAAAATCTTGCTTAAATACTAATCTGTCTTCTCTAACTTACCTGTTTTCTGCTTAACTTTTTTCTTTAAAGAATATAACTAATTTTTAATGAACTAAAAATAAATATTGTAAGGCCATTCATAGTTTGTTTGTAATTCTTTTAAAGCCATATTGCCAAGGTAGTAGAAGGATACCACTATGAATTGTTTTTAAGAAAGTGAGGATACAATGGGCACCCTCAAATGGAACAGAGTATTACTCTTACATAAGTGGTATAGTTTTGACACTATTTCTGAATATTGCACTAAAAAAATGAGATCATACAACATTTTCACATTGTAAAACTTAGGATTTGGTAAGTGCTAATGTATAAACATTTTGGTTTGAATTTGTGTTTTCCTTTTTTCAAGGTAAACATTAGAAAACTTAAGTATTCAGTTTTGAGACAAATTTTCTATTATAAGTAAAATAGAGCTTTATGGCAGTTGTTAGGTTTATTATATGTATTTTAGATCTTAGCAAATATATATATTTATCTTGATTTCTTTATCAGGTGGTTTTGTGATAAAAGCAGGAGTCAATCTTTCCTACTGTTTGGAATGCTGATTTAAAAAAAATGGCAGAGTTGGTTTAATTAATGGTTTCACTAATATCATGAAATTTTATTTAAGGTTTTCAAACTTAGAACTTAGGATCTTTATATAGGACTCATTAATTTATACCTCACCATTCATGGTCTTCTGTTGAGCCATTTCATGAGCATTGCCATGTTTGAAGCAGTGTTCGCTCTGTCATCATATGTATTTAGAGGTATGCCCTGTTATGATATTTGAAGGACAACTATTAAAAGCAGTGGAGTGTTGAATAAATAGTGCTGATGACTACACTTATTTATTCATCTCTTTTTGCTCTGGGAATGAATAAAAGTTTTGCATTATAGTGAGTTTTTTTAATAGTTGTTGAATGCTAAAGTAAAAACCATTATATTTAGAAAAAGTTCAGCTTTAAATATTTAGAATTTTTAAGCGTGTAAATACCATTTGGATTTTATTTTTAGCATTTAGCAGTTTAGTAAAACTTGTTTTTCTTGTTGTCAAGCTTAAAATCCAGTTTTGCATTTTGAATAACTGAGGCATACTTATAATCAATAAAGTAAACAAATGTGGTAAAAATACCAGAAGTTTATTGTTTAGACATACTTGCTATGACTACAGCCCACCATTTGTTTCTCCAAGGTCCATATCCACAGATCTAACCAATTATGACTTGAAAATACTTGGAAAAAAAGTTGCCTCTAGTGCTGAACATGTATAGACTTTTTTTCTTGTTATTATGCTCTGAAGAATGCAATATAACAATCATTATCTTAATATTTACATTGTATTAGGTATTATAAATTACTAAGAGATGATTTAAGCATATAGGAAAATTATGTTGGTTATATGTAAATACTATGCTCCTTTATATGAGGGACTTAGCAGCTGTGGATTTTAGTATCTGAAGTGGCCTACAGCCAATTCCCCAGGGATAGTGAGGGTTGACCATATTGCATTGAAAAGTAACATTCAGGGGCTGGTGTTGTAGTGGTATAGTTAAGCTGCAACCTAGAACACCATCATCCTCTTTGAGTGGCTGCTCTACTTCTGATCCAGCTTCCTGCTAATGCAAATGGGCAGGGGCAGGGGCAGGGGAAGATGGTCCAGCCCTGGCCATTGCAGCCATTTGTGGAGTGAACCAACAGATGAAGATCTCTGTCTCTGTCACTGACTTTCGAATAAATCTTAAAACAAAAAAATAGCAATCATTAGTATTCTAATATAATGTATAGTTTGAGACAAGTTTTGGTGACATTGTGTATAAATATAGTTTGAACTACTTTCTTTTATCGAGTTTGATTGTTTTTAAAGATTTATTTTATTTATTTGAAAGAGTTACTGAGAGGTAGAGACAGAGAGAGAGAGAGAGGTCTTCAATCTGCTGGTTCAGTCCTCAAATTGCTGCAACAGCCAGAGCTGAGCTGATCCAAAGCCAGGAGCCAGGAGTTTCTTCCAGGTCTCCCATGTGGTTGCCAGGACCCAATGACTTGGGTCATCCTGCACTGCTTTCTCATGTGCGTTAGAAGGGAGCTGGATCGGAAGTGTAGCAGCCGGGACTCAAACTGGTGCCCATATAGGGTGCCAGCATAGCTAGGCCAGGGCTTTAACACACTGTGCCATAGCCCTGGCTCTGGCCCTGGCCCCTCTACTTTGGTTTTGGCATATATTTTTCTTTGTTTGAAAATATCACATTGTAAATAAGTGATGTTGATAAATTATATTTAATACTAAATATTATGCTATCCAAATTATTTAAAGCAATTTATAAGTTAACCTTTCTCATATAGGTGCTGGTGTTGTGGCATAGCAGGTTAATCCGCTGTCTGTGATGCTGGTATCACATATGGGCACTGGTTTACATCCTTGCTGCTCTATTTCTGATCCAGCTCCTTGTGAATGAATGTGTTTCAGGAAATGGCCCAATTGCTAGGGTCCTGAACCCACATGAGATATCTGGAAGAAGCTCCTAGCTTTGCACTGGCCCATCTCCTGTGGTTGGGTCATTCAGGTTGTGAACCAGTGAATGGATTAGATCCCTCTCTGTCCTCTCTCTATGTAACTCTGCCTTTCAAATAAATAAATAAATCTTTAATAAAAAATGAATATATATGTAGCCTTTACTTTTCAGAGAAGTTCTGTGATTCAGGATACACAAAAATACTCCAGAGTTAATGGAAAAAAATAGAATTAGATTCTGTCCCGGTTGCCTCTCTTCCAGGCCAGCTCTCTGCTGTGGCCAGGGAGTGCAGTGGAGGATGGCCCAAGTGCTTGGGCCCTGCACCCCTTGGGAGACCAGGAGAAGTACCTGGCTCCTGCCATCGGATCAGTGCGGTGCGCCGGCCATTGGAGGGTGAACCAACGGCAAAGGAAGACCTTTCTCTCTGTCTCTCTCTCTCACTGTCCACTCTGCCTGTCAAAAAAAAAAAAAAAAAGAATTAAAAGATAATTTTACTTTGATGAAAAATTCCTGAAATCTGTGTGGGTTTTTTTTCATAATGCATTTCCATGAGTTAATTAATTGATTAAAAATATACTTATTTATTTGAAAGAGTTATGCAGGAAGAGAGAGAGAGAGGGAGAGAGGTGTCTTCCATCTGCTGCTTCACTCCCCAGTTGGCCGCAACGGCTGGAGCTGCGCTGATCTGAAGCCAGGAGCCAGGAGCTTCTTTCGTGTCTCCCATGTGGGTGCAAGGGCCCAAGGACTTGGGCTGTCTTCTACTGCTTTCCCAGGCCATAGCAGAGAGATGTATTGAAAGTGTAGCAGCCGCGATTCTAACCGGTGCCCATATGGGATGCTGGCACTTCAGGCAGTGGCTTAACCTACTATGCCATAGCACTGCCCTCCACCATGATTTTTTTTTTTTGGAAATCCCCCCTGTTCATTGTGATTATTATTTAAACTTTAATAAATATAAATTTTGAAAGTACACCTTTTGGATTATAGCGTTTTTTTCCTTCCATAACCACCCTCCCACTCACAAACCATCCCATCTTCTACTCTCTCTCCCATCCCTTTCTTCATTAAGATTCATTTTTAATTATCTTTATATACAGAAGATGTGATTAGTTATTAACTGTAGAGTGCACTTAAAGACTGAAAAAAAGTTCATAATCTGAAATGACTGAATGAGGGTGTTTTTAAACAATTTAAAGTTTGGCATATATATTTTTTTTTTTTTTTTTTTTTTTTTTTTTTTTTTTACAGGCAGAGTGGACAGTGAGAGAGAGAGACAGAGAGAGAAAGGTCTTCCTTTGCCGTTGGTTCACCCTCCAATGGCCGCTGCTGCAGCCGGCGCACCGCGCTGATCCTGGCAGGAGCCAGGAGCCAGGTGCTTTTCCTGGTCTCCCATGGGGTGCAGGGCCCAAGCACCTGGGCCATCCTCCACTGCACTCCCTGGCCATAGCAGAGAGCTGGCCTGGAAGAGGGGCAACCGGGACAGAATCCGGCGCCCCAACCGGGACTAGAACCCGGTGTGCCGGCGCCGCAAGGTGGAGGATTAGCCTATTGAGCCACGGCGCCGGCTAAAGTTTGGCATATATTTTAAAATGGATCAAACTATGTATTTGAAATTAATTAAAACTAGGTTTAATTTATGCACTTCTTGTTTGGCTTGTGGCTTGCTGTTCAAGGATAATGTCTTCTGATAATGTTTATTCATTACTAAAAGGATATCAAACTGTTTTGACAACTGTTAGAACCTGTTGGGCCCTTGGGGCCTGAACCCCCAGACCTGATGTAACTGAGTACAGATCATCTAAAAGCAAATGGAATGTTTATTGCCTGGGAAAGCCCTGCACATGGGCATTCCAAATTGCTGAGACAAGGCATTGTAAAAAGGAGATTTTTAACAACTAGCCCTTTTGCAAACAGGAGCCTTCCAAAAAACAACAAACAGGCTGCTGCCCATTGCCCATGGAGCTGAG